AACGTATTTTCAAAAGCCTATGTTAGGACAATAGTTGGTGATATTTTAACCCTGAAGAAAAGAGCAGACATGATCTGCTCATTTTCTCTTCCCGCAACTGATTCCTCACCAAACAAGAAGTTGGCAACTGCATTTCAGCCCTTGACCAGTAAAGACCAGTAAAGAAGAGGGTTGCTTTTCCTGCAGTTTCTATGAAGAGGTTTAATTCCCAGATTGGCTACATCCTTACACTTTCTGGAAAGTTGCACGTTGCCATACACAGAATTTTCGGCCCTTGTCTCAGAGAGCAAGAAGAACAAATACACGGTGACCTCAAGAGCATATTTCGTGTGTCCATACTCTAGCTAGCAGCTTCTCTGTCTTGTGCCAATTGCTGTTTAAATGGGGCAGGAGTTAGAAAACAAGTGGTAACTAATGCAACCTACAGACGCTACATCATCATAATTTTTGGTACAGCTTCAATCAGTATGGTTACTTCAGTATGCATCAGTATAATACTGTTGAGACTCCTGTCAGTTAATGATCTCTTCATTCACATTACATAGTTGTGTATTAGGAATAATTTCTCTGGAGTTTTGGAATGTATTTTGAACATATTTCAGTTGCCAGACTCTATTTTAAACACCTTTCATAACTAGAATATATTTTTTTTGTTTTATGCTTCTAATGATCTTAAGAGATGTAAAATGATGTGAGATGTTACCCATTACTACCCTTGAAAATCACAGATATCATACAGAATTCGGAAAAGAGCAATCCAGTGCGGACAGTGCGCATCTAGTCTAGTTTCTCTTAATGACTGATGTTCTAAGGAACATCACTAAAGACAAAAAAACACACCAGCAACCTATTTTACTTGTTCAGCAAATGTTTGCCTACTGTATCACAAACTTTTATTACAGTACTTCGGTTCAAGAGATGTTTGCATACCTTATTGAGCAAGCTGCATATTTTTCTAGTTAAGGCATGTGTACTGTAGTTATTACATTTTACACACTTCACTGACTGAGCTGCATAGACTATCACCAAGAATACTTGACTGATTCAGCTGCATATTTTAGTGCTTCTCATTTGTGTACTTTTATTAATTCAGTGGCATACTTTGATAAAGTTCAATTCTATGGTGGATGAATTTTGGGTTCTGCCAATCAGCTGCATACCGTACTGAAAGGACTGCACACATTGCTAAACACCAAGTCTACTGTGAACATTGGTAGTTGAAATTTTATACTCTGTGCTGTTTAGTGAAATGAGCTGCATATTTCTGTTTTTATATACATTGCTTATCCAGTTGTGTACATTTGCCCAACTCATTATACAAAATAAGCTTGATTGGAATAAGAACATGCTCTACCAGCTGTCGGCTATGAGTCAGTCAGTACGTAACAAAATTAGCAACTTTTCTGTTTCCAACAGCAGTATGATTGCATCCAAAGTCTAAAGCAATTGGTTTGGAGACCTTGTTTGTTTCATTTACTCGATGGAAACATCAGGATTAACAAACCAATTTGGTGCAACTTAATTTGCCTTTACAAATATGAGTGGAGACCAATAGCAAAGGAGAAAAAAAAGCTCTGCAGACTAACACAAGGAAATGCTTCTGTGCACAGTACAAAACTCTTCGGATGTGAATGAACTGTCCGCTCTGCTGTGTACCACAAGTGTAGCTAAGAATAAGTCAAACATGATGCATATGATATTCAGTAAAGGGTCAGCCTGAATCCTGGAAATGGAAGAGCTTGTGAATCATTTACTTGAATTGGGTCCAGAAATTATGAATATGAGCTGATATTATGACCCTTCAAAAGGCACTTAAACAAGCAAGGTGTATGAAAATGGAGCTACTTGGTTATGTAGCTTGCCCAGTAGTATTTGTAAAAAACAAATGTTGGACTGAGAAGGGGACTCCATTGAATGTAGCTTGCTGTGGTTGCAGAAGATCTTTACTTGCAAATGAGTATCTGTGATAAACCGTTTATCTAAACCTGCTGGTTTTGTAATCACTTTTAGAGAGGCCCGCAGCGTGCTTTCACACTTTGTTTAAACAGGTGCACAGCAAAAGGTGCTTAAATGTAGCAAAAGGTGCTTGAACATTTCCATCTCAAGGTTAGCAGCACATATCTCAAGAACTTTTCCTTAATTTTTGCTTAGCCTGGGAATGTATATTCTAGGTGGCACAGCTTAATTGAAAACCTTTCTGTTCCATGGGCTAGCCTAAAGGTGTTGGATTCCCATTATCAACAGCCTGCTGTGGTTTGCTTTTTCTTTAGTGTTGTAACATTTTGCTGCCAGACCAGCCTTCATTAGAGGTCTACTTTTGTTCTGTGAAATTCAAAAATGCAAAAGTTGATATTTGTTTTAATGCATTGATCAAAACAACACCAAGCCAAGACCATGAGATTCTGGGAGTCTTTAATTTGATCAAGTACCATGTCAACTGTGTGTATTGAAAGTACAGGAAGTCCTTGAGTTACAACGTTTTGCACTTACAATGTTTATAAATTGACACCCTGTTTCAAATTTGTGACATCAGTTTCAACTTTATAACACTTGATCTGACGCCAAGCCATGCCAGCAAACAAGTTTGCTGCATCACCCGTCTCCCTGGAGAACATCTGTCCAAACTGCCTTGGACACTTTTTTTAAGAAAGCAGATGAGACTCCAGAAAAACCTGCAACCAAGATGCCTGAGAAGTCTCCAGCCAAGAACCCTTCAAAAAGTCCAACCAAGATCCCTTCAAAACGTCCAGCAAAGTCACCTCAAAGAAGTCCTTCCAAATCAATGATTGCTATTTACAATATAAATACATTAATGTAGCTATATGACTCATCTATAACTGATCGAGTACAAAATTCTGGGTTATTTTTGGTGAAAATAGGGTATCGGGCCTTGGTTCAGGAACCAACCCCCATTTATAACATTGTTTCCTATGGGAAAATTGGTTTTGAGTTGCAACGTTTTGACTTAAGATGCGGTTTCCAGGAACCAATCATGTCGTAAGTAAACTGGGGAATCCAAAGTGGAGTTTACTTCCAAAAGACACCTTATACCTCAGCATTGATATTGGGGGTGGGGAGAAGAGTTAAAAAGGGAAAAGTTCAAATAGGATGCTGTTGTGTTGTTTTTTTTGGGGGGGGGGGGGGTGGAATCTCCCAGTGCATTTACCATTTGTATTTCATTTTTGTGTATTTTGATGCTGGAAATAAAAAGAATGCAGGATTTGAGATATGCTGGATTTGAAATACATCAAGTGAACTTAATGTACTGGAGGATCACAGTTAATATGACATTTCTCAATGATTAGTAGAATTCTGAGTAAGTTTGCATAAAATATTACTGTACAGAAGAAATGACATTTGTTACAGTCTGTAGGAAATGCTACACTAGTTTTAATCAGGAATTTTCCTTAATGATTAGTTGGATATCATGCTTTACAATTGAATATTGTTATCATTATTGTGAATAAGCACCAAGTTCACTGAAGCTATTGGTGTACAGTAAGGAAGACTGCAACTGGGTCCTTTTTTAACTTTCTACCCTGTCAGAAAAATTGGTGGACAGGTTTTTTGTTTGTTTGTTTGTTTTTATACTTTAATTTTAATGCTGTTTCTGGAGGGGAGTTCCTTGATAGCAAAAGAGGTGAGGAAAGATGATCCTCTCCTTTCCACAGGGGAATAACATTATCCCAAGGTGTAAACCAGTTCCTGTAGTCTCTGAGGCCCAGGTAGGTGGAGGTGACTAGGCCCATATGAGAGAGAAGCTCTGATGTGTAGCAAGCGGGGAAGGTCTTCTTATGAGTTGCACTTCTCTATCCCCAGCTCCCTACCATCAGGCAGTTCTTCAACTCCTTGGTGCAAATGTTTGCTTTATTTTTGGTTTTGAGTACAACCTGTCTCTTTATATGGCTAGTAGGCCTGTGCAAAGCGGCTAGTATTCACTTCAGATTTGGATTCTGCTGATTCAGGGGACAGTGATTTAATTTGGCTGAATCTGATTTGGAGATTCGGATGCCGCCGAATCAGCCGAATCTCTGAATCAAATGGATCCCACCCCCTGCCTACTCTCCCAGCCCCACTGATGGCTGCCCCACCTGGCCCCAGCTCCTGGCTCTTTAAAAAAAAAAGAAAAAAAGCCCTGCATTTACTGGCTCCTGCCAGGTGGGAGGGGCGATCCCTGCTGCACCTCATTGCCCCGTGCTGCATGGAGGGCTCTACCATGAGCCCCCAGAAGTCCCAACAGCCACTGCAGCAACCAGTGAGTGTGGGTTTTTGTTTTTTTTTAAACAGCCAGGAGCTGAGCTGGCGGGGCAGCCATGCGGGGGGTGGGGAGGAGGGGCTGGGAGAAGGGGCAGAGGATTGGTTACTAGGTAGGCCAGCCATGCAGGGGGGTGGGAGCTGGGAGAGCAGGTGGGGGTTGGGGGGCACTCGGTGGGGCTGGGGGAGCATGCAGGGGATGGGGCCTGGTGAGGGTCCCCCCATGGTCCCCTCCTCCAGCCTCCTCTCCCCGCCTCGCCCCGAACTTACCAGCATGGAGTCTGGGTCCAGCTCCCTGCAGCAGCGAGTGTGAACTGCCCGAATCTCTGAATCTTTTCAGAGAGATTCGAACGATTTGGACCTTTTTATTGGTCTCCTGATTTGATTCAGAGATTCGGCTGCTGAATCAAGCTGAATCTCCTCCGAATCGAATCAGCACCCAAAGCTTCGCACAACCCTAATGGCTGGGTCATTGGCTGAACGACCCATGTGTCATCTCTAGAGTTTACCCAAGTCTGGTGGTAGCATGTTCATCAGAATAAGGATACTTTTCTTGGACTATGAAAATATCAGAACTTAGCATGTCCTTTACTTGATTCTTTATATTGTTCTTATTACCCATCGACTTCATGGGCATGTACATTGTGTATTGTGACTATACTTTATTCTGCTAGAAAGAAGGAAAATGAGAGATTTGTATGTAGAACCCTTTAAGATAGTCACGAAGTCTTCTGTCTGTTTTCCAGAGGGTAATTTTCAACATTGTCAACTTCAGTAAAACAAAAAGCCTCTACCGCGATGGAATGACCCCTATGGTGAAGTCCACAAGCAGACCAAAATGGTAAGTTATCATTCTAAGCTTTTGCTAATGGCTTTGAAATTTTGTTTCTCTTGAGACTCAGTAGCCAAGATGCATTGGTTTGGGTGTAACATCTAGTATCGGGGAACTAAATAATGCTTCTCATCTAGTGCCATAATTCAAGTGGATTGTCTAGTGCACCAAGAGGTCAAATGAGATTGTCACACAGCAAAATATATATAATACACATAGATCAGCAATTTGTAATCATGTGAATAGGACTCATTATATTTCATTAGGAAAATGATCTAATGCATACAAGGCTCCCAAGAATTAGCTACATGACTTGCTTATAGCTTGAAGATTTGTCTGGGTATGAATTGCAGTTAGGCCCTAACAGTGCAGAGATACACTCGGTTATTCAGAGCTGTGTTTTGACACCTGTTGCTGAAGCTTGTCTAGGGGGCACAGAGGGTTGTGCCACTTTCCATGCTGTGGACAGATAGATACTTGGTAAGTGGAGTCTTTTACAACAAAACATGGCAGATTTAGCACTGCAAACAATAGAAGGGTGCCTAAGGAGATGGAGAATTGGTATCTCCTTTCACTTCTGTGTCGGGCAGTCTTGAGTCTAGTGTCTAGCGGAGGGAACTCATGCCACTAGGTTAGGTTAAGTGCTGCAGTTGCCACTCTTTTTTGGCTGCCCTTGCACCAGGTATTCCACTTGCTGTATCCAAGACAGATACAATATCTCTAGCTGCTAACATGAGGCCCCCAGAGCAGATGTCAGTAGCTCTAAAAGGCACGAGGGTGCAACGTGGAGAATCCTGCCCCACTGAAGTTCATAGTTGAATTTTTTTTTTTGGTGGACTCAGTATTTCTCCCTTTCTCCCTGTTAAAAAAAAAAAAAAATCCTCCTGGTTCTGCAGTGAAAAAGTGCCCACAAAGCCTCTGAGTTCTGCAAACTAGGTTTTGGGCTGGCATGGTCTTCTCTTCTATGAAAGAAGAGAGGTTTCAAAGAGTATATGCCAATTTTGTCTTTCTACTAGGCTGCACTGATACAGGAAAAGCCAGCGTTTGGGTACAGGATGGGGTTGATGCTGTCTGGGTCTGAGCTCAATACAAATATTTAATGACATCTTAAAATTCATATATCAGTAATCCTAATTATGCTTCTTGGTTTATTTTAAGATTCCAGTTTTATACCTATACCTGTTCCAGGCTAGACTTATTAAGTAGATTCCTATCCTCTTTCAAGCCTTCTTTTTTTCTTTTCTAACTGGGATCTAGTATTTTCTGCCCAGTATTTTCCATGTGTAAATCTACATTGTTGCTTTTCTACAAATGTTATTCCTTATTTCAGTTTCAAATTAAAAGGTACATTTCTCTGAAATGGTATAGAGCTGGCTCTTTCTGGAACAGATAGGCTGTTTCAGTGTTTTCGAAAACACCTTTCTCCTCGATTTTCCCAGGAGATCTATTTATTTTTGTGTTTTATATTTTTGGGGGAGTATTTTGTTCCCATGAAAGGGAGGGATGAATAGCACTGCCTGGAGCTAGGCAGAGCGTAGGCAGCAGGAGCTATGCTGCTTCCTCCCGCAGCTGTGCTGCTGCTCCACCTTCATCCTGTTTCAGAAATCCTCGTTGCAATTTGTGGCATAATTTACTGCAGATCGAGTGGCTTTGGCAATGAAGTACATTTTTTTTTTTTTTACTTGAAATGTATCGTTATTCTGTTAAAAAATACATTTGTGTTTGCTTTCTAATGGTCTGTGGATGAAAGCATGCTGCTGTACTTTGCAGGAGAACAGCTATTCATACAGTTACTAAGGCCTGTAATGATATTGGGGTCTAGTCTCCTCAGTACGATTTACAGTGCATTAACATTAATAGGAGTTGTGTGCGCACACCAAGAAGGGAAATGCACCCTTTATTCTTGGATATATGATTTTTATTATAGCTGAGTGTCTTCCTTTCAGATTATTTTTGAGATGTCTTTACAGTCATCTCAATATCTGTTTCCATGGTATTCTAGTGAAACCTGTAAACAAAATTATTCCCATGGTGTTTGGTGATTTTGGTTTTTTTTTTTGGTTGAAACAGGATTTACTTATAGCTGCTAGAGCAGCATTTGGGTAGTTGTAATCCTTGAATAAGAACGGGGTAGTCTCTATCCATATTGATTCGATGCTCTTAGACTGTTAAGAAGTATTGGATTACTGGGGCTCTGCATAGATGCGGGGTTCACTTGAGCGGGTTGTGTTGTAAGACGGGGTGGCCAACCTGTAGTACAGTAGTACACACGGGCAGCCTAGGTGTGTGCCATATGGCAGATTGGGGAGCGGGCTGCAGAGGGCAGATAGGAAAAGGTGCAGAAAGCGGATCAGCAGATCAGACGAGGGAAGGGGGTAGGAGTGACAGAACGGACTTGGAGGGTACTTGCTAAAAAGCGTGGTCCACACTGACGTAAGTTCATGACCTGAGACTGACATGGGACTATTTCCACCTTAGACCATGGCTTAAATGGTTTTTCTTTCCTGGTAACTTGACAAACATGATTTAGGGGGTGGGCAGAGGACATAATCATGCAGATTGAAAAAGGCAGGGGAGCTTACTATGGTTCAAGGTAATCTGCTGTAGCTATTTCATGTTTCTGCTCCACCCCACATCTCACTAGAGTAATGTAGCAGCTGTTTCATTTTTGTGTAAGCCACTCTGATTTAGTGTCACGTATTTGGGGTAGGAGTGGAAGGGTGAAACCGTTACTATAGACTGACTGATGTGCACTTATGATCTCTTTTAAATCAGTATGATTGCTTTGTTCATGGTCTCAGATGGCTGAATTGACTGAAAATACAGATAGAAAACGATGCGTCTAGTTAAGAAAACATGAAACAGCGCAAATGTCTGAAAATCAAAAATAAAGAAATGCAAATGACAGAAGCAACACTGAAAGTCACTACTGCACCTGTGAACCTCATTGTATCGGATATACATGAGATTCTGTTGTGATTGCCTGGGTGAGCTGGAGGATCCCAGCGAAGGTTTGTGGTCCATACTGGAATTCTCCCCACATTCATCTGCCCACATCTCATTCATTCTTTTAGTGATAAATCTTAAAACATAGGTGGGCTTTGCTTTAGAGCTGAAGGGGTGTATTCTTGTCTCACGTCCAAGAGATCCAGATGCACAACTCTCCTTGATAACAGAATTTATGGCGTGATTGGTTTAAATAAGAAGATTCCTGTTGTATCGAGGACAGAACTCGGTCCCGTGTGTCTAAAACCCCAGCATATCAGAAACAGACCGGTCTCTGGAGAGTATGAGGTTTTTTAAAGGATATTAATATTTGTTCTGAATGTACCTGCGTTAACTTGGCTTCAAGACTTTCAGTGATTCCCACATTTGACTCTTGACTCTGGAACAAATCAGTGTCAAGTGCTCTTGAAGCACTGAGGATGTCAAATACAGATCGACAGGTTTGACCTGGATTCTCTTGCCCTAGGTGGTAAGATCTTCAAATGCAGTTGGTATCAAGGGTCACCTCCAATGTTACTGATGTAAATAGAGGATATCACTGCCATCAAAGTGCTCCGTGTGGACACAGATGTTCTAGTGTTGACATATTCTTCTCTTTTGAAGTAAGTCCAAACATTACCAGTAATGAGCTTCTTAAAAAGAGGCAGCAGTATGCCAAAGGATAAGAAACAGCAGATTTTGTGGAGAAGTAAAAGATTCTGTTTTTAAGAGGTAAAAAAGAAAAGTAGATGGTGATGAAAACTCGTCCTTTTTTATTTTTCCTCCATACAACGTCAGGATCCACTCCTGAAATTTACTTCTACCCAGAACTGGATATTTAGGGTATAAAACAATCAAAAGGAAATCCAAGTACTTTGCTTTTCCAGTTCCTCCCCCCAACCTCCCCCCAGATAAGAGGTGAAGTTGTATTGCAATCTGTCAGTTGCATCAGTCAAACCTTGTTGCAATGAACCTGAGCTTCGGTGAAGAAATGCAGCATCATGTCATGTCGGGTTACATCAGTCACATTTCATGGGAAATTGGACATGATGAAATTCCAGATTTTAATTCAAGCCAATGGGATAAAATGCGACTTGTCAAATATAATTTTTGTTCAAAATTATCCAGACGATCATAACTGCTGAATAAAGATATTAGAGCATCAGGGCTTATCTTGGCAATTAGTTTCAATTTTGTATTTATTTATTGAGAAACTGAGCTTACCACTTCACTCCTAAAGTCCAGCTCCTCTTGCAAGACAGTTCTTCTTTGTTGGTTTCTTTTCAAATGCAGCCTACTTTTGTTGGTATTGTGTTCATGTTTTCACACTATAATCTCTGTCTTTGGAGACTGTTAGTAAGCTTTAATGTAGGCACAGCAATGGAATAACTTTTCACCCACTACCTATACTGTATCTTTATATTGATTCCGCAAAGTTTTATAACTTTCTCAAAGTGAAATAGAAAAGTGACGTGTTAGAAAGGCAGCAGATTTTCTGAATGATGAAGTGAGGAAATATCCCCTGCGGGCTGGGAAGAGCTATAACTCTTGATTATTCAGCATGAGCATTGCCTCGTTGGGGACATTAGTTTTTCAAATTGAGCTAATCTTTTAAAAGTAACAACTGGCCACTCATC